TTTTAATTTGCTATGCAATCGCAGAGATCTCGTTAGTATAGAGATCTCCGTCCTCAGTAAACGTGTCAAAAGCTCACTCACTCGCCGCTAAAAGTATAAATAAAACAAATGAAGGGCGGTAAAAGCAGAAATAAAGCAAATCAAGGGGCGGTAAGGTTTGTAAAATGAGAAGTGTGTGTTTTAAACGGGAGGAGTAAATTTTAATTTTTATTAAAAATAAAAAGTATTTATAAAATATGTAAAAAAAATTTAAAATCAGTAAAATAGTATTTAGAAAATAATTTTTATAAAATAATAATAAGAAAAATTTTAAATTAAAATGATAATTTTACCTTTATATACATTTTTTATTTAATTTATTTCAATTTTTTTAATATTTTCTATTTTAATTTTTTTGGTTGGTGCCACTCCATGCACTAATGTCGTCATTGATACATGGTGTGACTACTGCACACAGCACCCATCTGGGAGGTCATTGCTACAATGATCAATGTGTGTCACTGTGTGCGACTATCGTAGCGGCCACACATAGCAGCCATCTTGGAGATTGCTGCATGCGGCGATTGTCATTGTATGCAACAGCAATCTAAGTCTATGTAGATCCAATGACAAGTCTTTGTGAAAAAAGAGACTGAGAAATGAGTAAAAAGTAATATTAGTTTAAAAATTGAATAAAATTCTTAAGAGTAAAACTGTCTAAAATTATCCAAAAATAGTTTTTATATATTTACAATTATGCTATTAAAAACAAAAGTATCAAAATCCCAATATTAGAAAAACATATTCAACTTCTAATTTTTTCAACTTCAAGAAGTAGAAATAAAACGATGAATTGTTTCAGGGGATAGGACAGGGATTCGGATCGAAAAAGTTACCCTTTATGAGAGATTTTGAATTTAAATTTAATAAAATATTTATATATTTTATTTATAGTATATTTTCGATGTCAAATATGTAAAAAAAATTTAAAATCAGTAAAATAGTATTTAGAAAATAATAATAAGAAAATTTTTTAAACTAAAATAATATGAAATAATTTGTATAAACACTTCCCAGCAAACAAATAAATAAATTTAAAAAAATGACTTAAAGTTTGTAAATAAATAGATGGACAAAAATAGAAGACTTATAAAATAAATAAAAAGATGTATAATATAAATCAACAAAATATAACAAATATCATGTCTATTATTTCAAAACTAATAAAGACTTAAAAGTAAAAAAAAAAGAGAAAAAAAAAAGATTGAGTTATCATTTCACTTTATTTTGTCACCTTACAACAATGAAAGAAAGAGGCGAGGCAAGCGAAACGAGATAATCGTAAGGAGAGAAAAAGAGATCGTGAAAGCTGTGCATAAGAGAGGAGAGGGTTAGTATTTCAAATAAAATTTTGTATATATATTTTCTCTTTTACACTTTAACTTCTCATATTTACATTTCCGCTTCATATAATCCTCTATCTTTTTTAATTTTTTCAATTTACTATTAAATTATTTTTAATATCTAAAATTTACATATTTATATATATAATAAAATAATTTAATAAATTATTATATATAATATTCGATTTGGTACATTTTTTTATTTTTATTTAAAAATTTAAATTATACTAAAATATTTGATATGATATAAATTAATACCAAAATTTATAATATTTTTTAAAAAAATTTAACTTTTAATACAGTACAATTTGATTAGATATTTTAAAATCATGAACACTGCGACCAGCCGTGGCTCTCTCTGCTCACAACTGTTGTAGATCACATGGGTCACATGCCAATTCTCCAGCTCAAATGTTCATATATAATAATTATATATTTGAATTAGAACGACCGATACGATATTACACATTTTTTATTTGCTCTGCAATCACAGACATCTCGTTAGTGCAGGGACCTCCGTCCACTGTAAACGTGTCGAAAGGTCACTCACTCGCCGGTAAAAGTATAAATGGAGCAAATGACGGGACGGTAAAATTAGAAATAAAACAAGTGAAAGGGCGGTAAGGTTGTGTAAAATGAGAAGTGTGTGTTTTAAATGGGGAGAGTAAATTTTAATTTTTATTAAAAATAAAAAATATTTATGAAATATGTAAAAAATTTTAAAATCAGCAAAGTAGTATTTAAAAAATAATTTTTTATATAATAATGATAAGAAAATTTTTAAAATTAAAATGATAATTTTACCTTTATATATTTTTTATTTCATTTTTTAATTTTTTAATTTTAATTTTTTTGTTGTTACAACTACATGTAGTAATGTCATCATTGCTACACGGTGTAACTACTGCATGCAGTGCCCATCTAGGGGTCGTTGCTACAATGATTAGTGCGCATCGCTGTGTGTGACCATCGCAGAGCCATACATAACAACCATATGAGAGATTGCTGCATGTGGCGATCGCCACCTACACAGCGGCGATCTAAGTTTATGTAGATCCGGTTACGAGTCTTTGTAAAAAATGAGAAGAAGAAATGAGTAAAAAGTCATATTAATTAAAAAATTAAATAAAATACTTGAGAGTAAAACTATTCAAAATTATTCAAAAATAACTTTTATATATTTACAATTATACCGTTCAAACAAAAGTATTAAAATCCCAATGTCACAAAAACATATTTAACTTCTAATTTTTTCAACTTGGAGAAATAGAAATAAAACGGTGGATTATGTCGGGGATAGGACAGGGATCCAGATCGAAAAAGTTAACTTTATGCGAGATTTTGAATTTAAAATTTAATAAAATATTTATATATTTTATTATATTATATATTTTGATATTAAATTATTTGTAATTATTACTTTTATAATTATGTTTGTAAAAAAATATTATATAAAATATACCAAAGTATTCAATCCTGACACCAGCCGTGGCTCTCTCTGCTCACAACTGTTGTAGATCACACGGATCACATGGCAATTCTGCAGATCAAATGTTTTCATATAATAATTATATATTTGAATTACAACGACCGATACGATATTACACATTTTTAATTTGCTCTTCAATCGCAGACATCTCGTAAGTACAGGGACCTCCGTCCTCTGTAAACGTGTCAAAAGGTCACTCACTCGCCGGTAAAAGTATAAATAAAACAACAAGTGAAGGGGCGGTAAAATTAGAAATAAAACAAGTGAAGGGGCGGTAAGGTTTTGTAAAATGAGAAGTGTGTGTTTTAAACGGGGAGGAGTAAATTTTAATTTTTATTAAAAATAAGAAGTATTTATAAAATATGTAAAAAAAAATTTTGATCGTAGCATTAGTTCGCCTTCTCGTACACATTATTAAACATGTACGTTATTTCTTTCACAAATCCAATCCTAAGTAGAAGTGACATTATTTATATCTATTTGTTCTTCAAAATTGTTCCACTTTACTTTTCATACATGATCCTTCGATTTATATATATGTTTGATGTGTATATCAAATCTGTTAAATATAAACATCTATTTTGTATGAAAACTTGTTGAGATTTATGATCTATTCTTAGAGTTGATCATGTGCCAAGTTTTTGAAATGTAGCATTTATAATCTGAATGAATGATGGGGTATCCACCCACCACAAAATATTGCTGCGAATCAAGTAAAATTTTAATCCCTTAAATGGTGGCCACAAATTTGGTAAGTGTGGTATTACTTAGATTTCAACCTCTGGTGTTAGTCATCTCTTAATTTTGACAATATGACAATTGAAGTCAGATGGTTAAGTGGGTTATGAGTCTAGGCAAGAGGATGGAGAGAAAATGACATTCTCTAATATTTTGTTTGGCATGTTATTTTGATTTTTTTTCTATATAGCATTAAAAAAAAAACTCAATTTTATTATTATTTTTAGTCAAAATGTGATATTTCCGACATAATACGCTTTATTGCGGGATGAGATTTTAGTATTCTGATACTCTCACATGTTTTTAAATTTGTGAGTCATATCTGTGTAGTTTTTGGTGATATATATGCTTTGCTCACTATTTTATTATATGTATATACTTGGCATATTTTACAATGCATGTTCTAGTATAACTAAATGTTGTATTATCATTCACTAAATTTTGTACTCACTTCTTTTCTAACATTTTTTTTATCACAGCGTTAGTTCACTTTCTTGTACGCATTGTTGAGCGTGTATGTAATTTTTCTGACAAGCTCAAACCTGAGTACAGATGACATTGTTTATATATGTTTATATTTTAGACTTGTTCCATTTTGTTTTACATATAGGATCTTTTGTTTGTGTATATGTTTGATGTATATATCAGATCAGTTAGATTATAAACGTCTATTTTTTTTGAAATTTACTGAAGTTGATAATGTAGTCTTAGTACTATTCATGTGTTTGATTTTAAAGCGTGACATTTATGATTTGAATGAACAATGAGGTATCCACTCACCACACAAAATTATTATGAATCAGGTAAAAATTAAATCCCTTAAAAGTTCACCACAAATTTGAAGAGTGTGGTATCATCAACAATTGAAGATGAGTGACCACTGTGGATTATAAGTCTAAGCAAGAGGTTGGGGATAAAATAACATTTTCTAATATTTTGTTTGACGTGTTATTTTAATTTTATTTTCTATATAATATAAAAAAAACTCAATTTTATTACGTTTTATTCGATATGTTCTCTAACCTTGGAAAAAAAAAAAAAGAAAAACAATCTGAATACAGAAAGCAAACCTGATGATGCTTTTTTATTTTTGAAAAATTAAACCAAACAACTTTAAGGGTGTTTTTTTCAAAAAGAATTACTTTGTTTTCCCAACCCAAACAGCCTTTCTTATCTCTATATATTCACTGCCCCAGCCACTCAACCACCACTCTAAACACATCCTCATCCTCCCAATAACACTCTCCTCCTTCTTCAGCCTCTCCTTGAAAAATTACACAAGACTCAGAAATATTTAAAATAAATTCCACAATGGCTTCAACAGGGAGGACCAAACATGGCACCTAGATGCAGGGGAGGGGGAAGGGGAGGACGAGGCTAGCTTTTCTTCCATGCTGCTGGCCAGCGCCGCTGTGCTCCCGATGGTGCTGAAAACAGCCATCGAGCTCGACCTTCTCGAGATCATGGCTAAGGCCGGTCCAGGAGCCTTTCTCTCTTCTTCGGAGATCGCGGCTCAGCTTCCCACACAGAATCCGAACGCGTCAGTCATGCTAGACCGGATTCTCCGCCTTCTCGCTACCCACTCCTTCCTCAATTGCAGTCACCGGAACCATTCTGGAGGCAGAGTTGAGAGGCTTTATAGCCTGGCGCCATTGTGCAAGTATTTGACCAAGAGGGCGGACGGCATCTCCTTGGCTCCTCTCTTGCTCTTGAGGAATGACAGAGTGAGCATGGAGAGCTGGTAAATTTTCTTATTTTTACATATTTTCTATTTAAAAATCCATATTTATTTGAGAGCGTTTCTAAAACCCCGTAAAATGGGTTTTTGATTTTCTTTTTGAGAAATCGAGGTCTCTATTTTCAATAAATTAAGTGTAAAAAAGTGTTGAAGTTACTTCTGAATTTTTAGTTTTACGAAAGAAAAGAAATTCAGAAAAAGGCTTTGCTTTTCTGAGAAACCAAAATTATTTGGTTTGTTGCACTGTTCAAGGACCCGGTCTATTTTGTTTAAGGATTTTATTAAAAGAAAATTAACGAATGGGTTCTAAAATATTTTAATAATTTAGAGTGAATATTTAAAAGTCTCCCTTTTATTGTAATAAATTAACTCTCAAAAGCATTAGAAATAACCTTTTATAGTTTTGTAAAATATAATCCAAACAAAAACTAAATAAAGACAAGGAAAAACACTAACTCTTCATATTTATATAAAAAAAAAAGCTCGGATCACAATCATTTAGGGCTTTTTTTCTTGGTGTATGAAATGCAGGTATTATCTAAAAGATGCAATTCTTGAGGGTGGAATTCCATTCAATAAGGCATATGGAATGACAGTGTACAAGTATTGCAGTATGGACTCCAGATTTAATATGATATTAAATAATGCAATCTCTAACTATTCTACCTTTATTATGGAGAAGATCCTAAAAATTTACAGGGGATTGGAAGGTATCAATACCCTGATTGATGTAGGCGGTGGCATCGGCACCTCCCTCAACATGATCATCTCTAAATACCCCTCTATCAAGGGCATAAACTTTGACCTCCCTCACGTCATTGAACAAGCCACGCCTTACCCTGGTATTCCAAAATCGTTCAATTCAAGCAAAAATTATTTTTTAATTTTTGATCGTTCTTTTTGTTGAATTTAATTTAACTAACGATGAATGCTGACGGTGAACCCCTGTGCTTCTAGGTGTAAAGAACGTTGGAGGAGATATGTTTGTGAGCGTTCCAAAAGGAGATACCATTTTCATGAAGGCAAGTATGAACAAAAATATCCTAGAATGCTGCAAAAATTACATAAAATAACAAATAAATTGTAATTTTAACCAAATAAAGTGATATAAGTCAAACAAATTTTGAATGTTGAAAATGTGGTCATTTTTAATGGTAAATATGCATACGGCAATAACCCATGTTGTGAAAAAAGGGGCATTGAAAAGGAAATGAAAAAAAAATTGAATTTTTGAAATTTATGTAACTTCTGCATAAATTATAGACAATAAGATTCCCCCTTTTTTATTAGGAAGTGGTTTTGATTTTACAAGAATTAGAAATTATAATATCAGGTAGGGTCGATTTCATGAACGAATAAAAAATTTCCAAATAAGAAAATTATTTTCGGATTAGTAAAGAAGAAAACTTTGACCGAAATTTTTGTTAGATTATGTCACCTACTTCTTCCATTTTTAACATATAAACAATGGGAATGTTACCCTGAGCATATGCTGGTTTCCGATGAGTTCATCTAAATACTAAGCTATATCTTGGTTCCTGCAGTGGATAACCCACAACTGGAGTGACGACTACTGCTCCAAATTCTGAAAAACTGCTACAACGCGTTGCCGGAAAACGGGAAGGTGATTGTTGTCGAATGCGTTCTGCCGGAGTCCCCGGACACCAGCTCAAGGACCAATATCGCCGTCCAGATGGACGTCATCATGTTGGCTCAAAACTCCGTGGAAAAGAAAGGACCCTCAAGTGTTAAAGATAATTCCTTGTATTTATTTTAGATTAGGATTTAATTTCTATGTAATTATTTTTAGAGGAATTAGAGTTTTACTAGGATTATAATTCCTATTAGATCTAGGATTAGTTTTCCTATAAATAGGACCCTTTGTAGATCATTCAAGTTCATGGAATAAAGATTGAGTGTTTAAAATTTAGGGACCTGAACTTAAATAAGTTCAGGGTCTAAAGTGAGAATCCGAGAGTTGAAGGATTGAACCGCAAATACAGAATCCTCGAAGGACCAAATTGCAATTTGGTCATCTTCATCCTTGGAGCAGATCCGACGGAAGCAGATCTGTCCAACCCGGTTCGGATCTGTCCGAACCCGAAGCAGTCTCCAACCTGTTGCAGATCCATCCGCTGAAGCTGAAGCAGATCCGGCCAACCCGAAGAAGATCCAACCGATTGCAGCAGAGCAGTCCGATCTGAAGCAGATCCATAACAGGAGCAGATCCATCCGACCATTTGCAGCAGAATAGTCTGATTCGAAACAGATCCATAACAGGAGCAGATCCGTCCAACCGTTTTGCAGCAGAACAGTCCGATCTGAAGCAGATCCATAACAGGAACAGACCCGTCCAATCGATCCAAGAAGATCCGTCTGACCAAAGCCAATCCGACCGACTGGAGCAGAACCGTTCCGCCATTGCTGATCCAGAATCGAAGCAGTCAAAGCCGAACCGAAGTAGATCCAGAACACCCTGATCCGAACACCGACTGTAGTAGATCTGATTCAACTGGAGCAAAACCGATCCGCGAAAATCCGAAGCAGATCCAGATCACCCTGATCTGAACACCGACTGAAGCAGATCCGATTCAACTGGAGCAGAACCGATCCGCGAAAATCCGAAGCAGAACCGCACACCCTGATCTAAACAACCAAGCAGACCCGACCAACTGCCAGAACTGATCCGCGAAGATCAGAACAGCTATCTGAAGCAGATCCGACTGACTGTCCAGAGCCAAATCCGCCATAGCAGTAGCTGATCTGTCCAAGCAAACGGTTTGCAGTGATCTGATCCAGAATCCAAGACGGCCCAGACTTGCTGCAGATTAGTTTGACAGAATAGATCAGATTCAGAAGCTTCGACACATCCTGGCAGAAATCAGCGGAAGCCAACCTGCAGATCAGAAGAGGTTCTACCCGACCCGACCCGGTACGCGTGAAACGGGCCGACCCGACCTGACTCTGCGGAACCGGGTTGACCCGGACTGGTTTCATCAGAAACTGTCCAATTGAACCAGCCTAAACCAAATTGGCAGATTTGAACCAGACTATCCAAAAAGCCTAGAAGAGAACTGGATCAATCAAAAGGGCTTCCAATGGCGTCCGATAGCTTCGTACAACCCGCCATTCCACGGTTTGATGGACATTATGACCACTGGAGCATGTTGATGGAGAATTTCTTGAGATCCAAGAATATTGGCAGGTGGTTAGTGAAGGTATTACAGAACCTTCATCCAAAACCGAAGGCGGAGCAGAACCATCAACACCAACAATATTGACAGCCGTCCAAAGGACAGAATTGGAGAGTTTAAAGCTGAAAGACCTGAAGGCCAAAAACTATCTCTTCCAGGCAATAGACCGAACGGTCTTAGAGACTATTCTCAACAAGGAGACTTCAAAAGACATATGGGACTCCATGAAAAAGAAATATCAAGGCTCATCAAGAGTGAAGCGTGCACAGCTTCAAGCCTTGAGACGAGACTTCGAGATTCTCGAGATGAAAGATGGTGAGTCTATCATGAGCTATTTTTCTCGAACCATGGAGATTGTCAACAAAATGCGGTTTCAAGGAGAGAAGATGGATGATGTCACCATAGTTGAAAAGATCTTGCGCTCCCTAATACCAAGGTATGATTTTGTTGTTTGCTCCATTGAGGAATCTAAAGATCTTGATTTACTCTCAGTTGATGAACTCCAAAGCTCCCTTCTGGTACATGAGCAAAAGTTGACCCGAAGTTACATTCAACTAAGGAGGAACAAGCCCTTAAGGCCTATACTCCTTCCCGATCTTCGAACTCTAGAGGAAGAGGTCGAGGAAGAGGAAGGGGAAGAGGTAAAGGAAGAGAAGGACAGGGTTTCAGAGATGGAGACAAACAACAGGAACAGCATCCAAAAGCCAACAACAACCAAGGCCGAGGGAAAGGACGGCATAACAAATCTAAGGTTGAATGTTATAGGTGTCACAAATTCGGCCATTACAGTTATGATTGCTACACCAAAATGCCGAATAAAGAAAGAGGGGAGAAAACAAACTTTGCAGAACAACAAGAACAGCAGCATGATGCTAAAACCATTCTGATGGCCACCCACGTCACAAACCCATCCGAATCAGATGTATGGTATGTAGACACGGGATGCAGCAATCACATGTGCAGAAGTAAGTCACTTTTCTCAAATCTAAATGAGAATTTTCAATCAACTGTTCGCTTTGGTGATAGCTCTGCAGTTGAGGTACTCGGGAAATGTGATATTAACATCCGCACCAAGAATGGCTTTGTAGAAACCATCTCCAACGTCTTCTATGTTCCAGACCTGAAAAGTAACTTGTTGAGCGTTGGACAACTGCAAGAGAAGGGTTATGTAATAACCATTCAGAAAGGATCGTGCGAGATATATAATCCTAAAAGAGGAGCCATTGCTGCCATCAAGATGAGTACAAACAGGTTATTCCCCTTAAAACTTCAGCATACTCCTTCCTGTTTCTTGACCGAAATCAAGAATCCATCTTGGCTTTGGCATTACCGATATGGGCATTTGAACTTTGGAGGATTGAGGACTCTTCAACAGAAGAATATGGTTAAAGGTCTTCCTCAGATTATAGCTCCTTCACAAGTTTTGTGAAGACTGTGTTGTTGGCAAACAACCTCGCTCTCAGTTCCCCCAAGGAAAATCATGGAGAGCCAAGAAAGTACTAGAGTTGATCCATTCTGACATTTGTGGCCCTATCACTCCGACTTCCAACGGTGGTAACTGTTATTTTATTACTTTCACCGATGATTATTCTAGGAAGACTTGGGTCTATATTTTGCAGGAAAAGTCAGAAGCTTTTGGGATATTCAAAAGTTTCAAGGCACAAGTGGAGAAAGAGACAAGGAAAGCCATAAAAACTCTAAGGACTGACCGAGGTGGAGAATATTGCTCCAAGGAGTTCGATGCCTTCTGTGACAACCAAGGCATTCGAAGGGAGCTTACTGCAACCTATTCACCTCAACAGAATGGAGTCTCTGAGAGAAAAAATAGAACCATTCTCAACATGGTTCGTAGCATGATCACCAAAGGAAGGATCCCGAAAACCTTCTGGCCTGAAGCAGTTAATTGGAGTGTTCATGTGCTGAATAGGAGCCCTACTTTTTCTGTCCTCAACATGACACCAGAACAAGCATGGAGTGGGAGAAAGCCATCTGTTGACCACTTCAAAATCTTTGGGTGCATCGCATATGCACATGTTCCTGATCAGAAAAGGAAGAAACTGGATGACAAAAGCGAAAAGTGTGTCTTCTTGGGGATAAGTGAAGTTTCTAAGGCATACAAGCTTTACAATCCAGTCACAAAAAGGATTGTAATCAGCAGGGACGTTGTTTTTGACGAGGGAAACACTTGGGATTGGAGTAATGATGTTTCGAGGCAGCAGTCTATGCAGGTCAGTTTTGATGATAAAGACACAGACCCATCATCTCCTCAACAAATTCAAACCTCTGGCAAACACACCATTCAGATTGATCCTACAGAAGAGCCTCAACAACGTCCTAGAAAGAAACCTAACTGGATGCAAGACTATGTAACAGGTGAGGGGTTATCTGATGATGATATTGCTCACTTTGCCTTATTTGCAGATTGCGATCCCATTAGATTTGAAGAAGCTGCTAAGGATCCAAAATGGCAAAAAGCAATGGATGAAGAGATCAGGGCCATTGAAAAGAACAACACTTGGGACTTGGTAGACCTTCCAGTAGGACAAAAAGCCATCGGAGTCAAATGGGTTTACAAAACCAAACTAAATAAGGATGGCAGCATCAACAAGCACAAGGCCCGACTTGTTGTAAAAGGGTACAAGCAGGAATATGGAGTTGACTACAAGGAGGTGTTTGCTCTAGTTGCTCGCCTTGACACCATTCCGACTAGTATTATCCATGGCTGCACAGAAGTCATGGCCTATCTATCAGCTGGATGTAAAATCAGCCTTCCTGCATGGAGACCTACAAGAAGAGGTATATGTTGAACAACCTCTTGAATATGCCAAGCATGGCAATAAGCATAAAGTCTACAAGCTCAGAAAAGCTCTATATGGCTT